CAGACCGGGAAAAAATATTTATTTGCAACTTACGTCTCTGGCAAAAGACCAGTACCAAACACATAAAGGAGTCCTACTACACGCAACGACAGAAGGACAGAGCACCCAGTGTGTGGACGCGCCCAACACTCTGCACAGATGCTCTGCCGCCGCTGGTCCCCGGAGGGTGCGCAGGCGCCGGAGGCGGCGGTGGCCAGGGGAGCCTTGCAGCCCTGGGGGGGGGGGGGTACGCACAATCGGAGAAGGGAGGGGACCGGAGCGCCTGGACACACGCTCACGCCACTGGGAGCGTAAAAGTGCACGACCACCAGGCAACAGTGCAGGTTCTCACAGGCTGGCCTTGCGCTGGCCCGACGAGAGACCCCACTGCTGGGAACGTGGCCCCACGCAGCCCAGACGAGAATGGCGCCCCCGCCCCCCGGAAGCGCCCCTGGAGAAGGGCGGCCGCACCAGGGCAGCCCCCAGGGCAGACCCGCTCCAGGACGAGAAGGGACCCACGCACGGCTCCGGCGGCGACCTGCAGTGCTGTGCGCACGAGCACAGCTGGGGCAGACTCACTCCCGGTCTCCCTCGCAGCAGCTCCGGCCGGGGCAGGAGGGCCCCGCGGCCCAGAGACCAGGACGGTGCTGCCTGAGGGAGGTGAGGACGCCTGGCCAGGGGCAGGAGGCGGCGTTCTGGGCTGCTCTGACAGGCCTTCCTCAGCGCTGGACGGACGGACGGCCCTGCCTGTGGCTCCGCGGGTTAGAGCGGCGTCCCCATCGGCCAGGGGTGCGGGTTCGACCCCCCAGTCAGGGCACACACAGGAACCCACTGAGGAACGCGTAAATAAGTGGAGCAAGGAGTCAGTGTTTCTCTCCTCCTTCCTCTCTAAAAATCAGTAAGTAAAATGTGTTAAAAAAACGAATGAACAGTGCACTTAAAATCTTGCTACTTCACTGTGTGCAAACTGCATCTCCAGTTTTCCGAAGCAGACTTCCCCAACGTTCCACGCCGCGTGTGCGCAGAAGCTGTCACTCCAGCCCTACCCGACAGGTGGTGGCGAGTGCTCTCATTTGGAGAGCACGGGAGCTGAGTTGTGACCGGCAGAGGGAGAGGCCCCTCCAAGGTCCCTGCCCCTGGTTCGCCCTCACCTTCTCCCAGGGATTCGGAAAACACCACTCTCAGAGCGGCAGCCCAGGGGTTCTGCAGGTGTGATGACGGTCCCAGATCAGCGACCTTCAGGGCAGGGACCTTCAGGGCAGGGGCCACTGGGCCAGGCCTGGTCACGTGAGCCCTACACGTGACCAGGCCTGTCACGCCCGAGAGGGCGCCTGGGGTGCTCCACGGAGGCCAGCAACCCCAGGGGTCAGGGCAGGACCCACGTCACCTGGGCTTTGCCACTGTGGGGCTGAGACCAGGGCGTCCTGGTGGGAGCAGCTGGAGGGCTGAGCGCAGCCACAGCGTCCTGGTCCCTGAGCGCAAGGCGGCTGCGAGCTCGGACCTGCCAGCAGACGGACCCGAGTCTGCCCCGGCCTCACGCCCCACCCGGCACCGCTGGTCTAAGCCCCTTGCCCCTCTACCCCAAACTCTCCTCCACAGCGGGGTGCAGGCGGCTGCAGCACCGACTCCGTCGGGTCCACTGCCAGCCTCGCGGCCACGGGTTTCGGCGGCCCAGCGAGCTCCGGAGGCTGGGGCACCCACTCCCACACCGCGCAGTCAGCCGGGGACAGACCCAGCACTGAGCGAGGCGACTGCACATTCCAGGACAAAGACACAGCCTGCACTTCACACGTGCGTGTGACTCCGCTTTAAACGCGTGCCCACTGACACGCTCCCGTCGGCTTTCCTCCTTCAGCACACGCAGAAGCACAGGTCCGAACTGCTCCCGCCCGCCTCCAAAAGCTGGTTACATACAACGCAGTTCGTCTTCCGCTGGACAGCCCACCGGCCAGGAGGCCGCAGGGCGCAGCGACGCGCAGGTGCCTCCAGGGGAGCTCCGACGGCCCCCAGGGACCGGCGAGAAGCCAGATCCAACAGGCTCGCTCTCCAGCTCTCCCCTGGCCTCTCGGCCAGTTTGACACTGACCTGCCCTTCCCTCTGCCCAAGGCCCACCCCCGCCCTTCAGGGCCACTGCAGTCTCCGGAGCCCGCGGCTGGCTTTCGGCAGGAGGTCTCTCAGATCTTTCCCTCTAGCCTGACTCTGTCTCGGGCTCCAGCCCTGAGTCTCCAAGTGCTCCGCACCTGGCCGCCCGCAAACACCTTGGACGTAGCCCCCCAGAGTCAGTCAGGCTCCAAGTCTCCTCCCTCCTCACCAGCCAGCGCGGCACCCAAGGTGGCGCGGCCGAGGGAGACACTCCAGGATGTCCTGCCACAAACCGGCAGGAAGTGCCCCCCTGCCGGGCCGACAGGGGGTACAGCAGGTGCACCCCGCCCTCACGGGGATGAGGGAGGGCAGTGGAGGGACAGCAGCAACTAAGGAAGAAAACACTTAAGTAGACCGCACGGCAGAGTCATGGGAGGCGACGGCTGGGAAGCAGGAGCGGAAGTGAAGACACTCGTATCCAGGGAGAGGCGCCTCCGAGAGGGCGCGGAGGAGGCGGGGGAGGGCAGCGGGGGCAGGGCGCTCACGGGCGGGGGCCAGCGCCGGAGCAGAGGGGTGGCGGTCCGCGGATGGCAGCCAGCCGCAGTGCACGCCCGCAGCCGCCAGCGCTGCCCGCCCCTCTCTGCCCGCAGCCCCGCCCCCACCCAGTCTACTCCGCCCAAGCCAAGGCCACCCTGACCCAGGGGCTTCGGGCTCCCTCCCACCCGCACTGCCCTAACTCAGAGGCTCTCCGTCCGCACCGGGGATTAGTGGCTTCCTAACCAGTCTTAGCTCAAAGCACCTGCCGCACGACCTGAAACTCCTTCTAAAATGTCACCTCACTCCCTGCATCCTCCAAGCCTCCTTCCTGCACAGGGGACAACAGCAACCCCCCCCCGGGCACCTTGCTCAAGCCAGTCCTGATCTCGTCTGACACCCTGCCCACCCGACACTCCCCTCGCTGCAGCCCCTGAGGCCTTCGGTCCTCCAGCACCCCCCTCCCCCGTTGGGAGTCACCTCCTCAGGGCCCCAGGCAGGCATCACCCCAACCCACCGGGGCTCCCTGCTTCCCGTCCCCCTCCTGACCGGACCGGGGCTGCTGCAGGACAGCCAGGGGCTTTTATCTCTGCATCACCAACGGCCACCAGCACATCACCTGCCATCCAGCTGGCTCTCCGTAGACATGTATTAAGACCCATTTCCACAATCTTGGTATGGGAGTCGCGTCTATTTTATGCCCCAAATTCGACACTTAAAACTTCCCTGTACTTTGGGGGGGGGGGCATCTGTAATAGTGTCAATAAAAGTGAAGTGGGGGAAAAAAACCTCCCTGAACTTCTGTTTAGGTATTGCTGATGCCTTTGCTACACAAAGTTCTGGTTTCTTATCACATTCCACTTGTTCTCGGGTTCTACGAATCCTACGTTTCATTCAACTTCTGACGTTTCTATCTCTCGGGGGTCTTTTCACACGACTCTTGAAAGACAGTCTGCAGGCCTACATGGAAAGCTCACGTTCGCTTTCCTACGTCCAGCACCGCGAACGCGCTTCAGCACGGGTGGCTGGTTTAAGGCCCGCCCTGCGCCTCCGGGCGAGCGGCGTCTGCTCCCTCCGCCCCGCTGCGGACCAACCCTGCCCGGCGTCCCCCGCGCACCTCCCCGCGCTCCCCACGCCATGCCCAGGGTCCTCAGAGGCCGCGGCCCCGCGGGTGAGGGAGCCGCCCCGCGAGGTCTGCGCCCTGCGCCCTCCGGCCCGCGGCAGCGCCGGCCCCGCTGCTCCAGGACGTGGCGCCTTGGAGGGCGAGGAGAAACCGGCCCTTGGGACGCCGACCCTCCGGCCCAGAATGTCTGCCGCTTACTGCCGCCGGCGTCTCCCAGACGCTCCGCGCACGGAACAATGAACAGCCTCTCCCGCTCCCGCTCCCGCTCCCGGCGGGCGCCAGTCCCCGGAAGAGGTCACCCCGGACCTCTAATAAGATTATGAGACCGGAGGAGGTCGTTACCCTGTGGTTTGAGCTAAAGGTTCTGATCAATGGCTTAGTCTGGCTGCACACGACGTCAGCCTCGGGGAAAAAACACGGGGGCCAAAGAGCCTCCCCACGGAACAACGGAAACGATCAGAACCCACGGGCCTTGACCCAGCACTTCGAAGGGCGCGTCTCAGGTCCCCCGTGGTCCTCGCACTTTAAAAAAACAAACAAACGTCGGTCTGCAAGTTCCCCTCGACAAACGCTCAAAGCGTCAGGTAGGAACGTGCTGTGTAACCGGTAAGACAGCAGTAAGCGACAGTGCACGATTTCTGACACAAAAACCTCCGGATTTCCAAACCGCAAGTTACGAAAACCCACCCGACCCACCGGGCACTGATTTCCCCTTTGTAACGCTTTATTTCCACCATCTCAAAGGAGGGGGCGCACCCCGTCCGACCGCCCCGCACGCCGGGGCGGCTGCGGCGGGCGCCCCGACTCCAGTGCGGCCACTACAGGGGTGCGGCGCGCTCCGGCGGCCCCTCCTCGGGCGGGACCCTGCGCGCTGCCCGCCGCCCGGCCGCGCGTCGCCCGCGAGCGTGACAGGGGCGAGCCCAGGGCGGCGCCGCGGGGAGGAGGGCGGCGGCCGGAAGGAAACGGAGGAATCGGACAAAGCGAAGCGTCCGGGAGCGCCTCCCGGCGCCGCCCGCCCCGCGCGCCGCGTTCCCGGGGGCGGCCGCCTCCCCCGGCGCGGCTCCCAGGGCCGCAGCTGTTCCCGGAACGGCCGCCCCCGCCCGCAGCGGGACTGCGCTGGGGAAGCCGGGCCGGGAGGAGAACGTGAGGGCGGGGATGCGGGACCCGGGCGGGGATGCGGGGACGAGGCAACACGAACCTGGAGGGGACGTGGGTGCGGCGGCGGCCGCGGACGGGAAGGGCGGGGAACGGACGCGGGTGCGGCTGGGGCCGGCGCACTCACCGTGCTGCTCCCGCGGGCCGCGCGCTGGCGCTGTCAGCTCCGGAGGCCGCGGGCGCGTGCGCGTCGCGGGACAGCACGGGACCCGCCGCCTCGGCCGCCTCGGGCGCAGCGCCGCTATCACGAGCGAGGAGCGCCGGCGCGACCGCCCCGCAGCATCCTCGGCCGCCCGCGCGCGCTGTCCCCGCGGCTCCCTCACGGCCGCCGCCCCAAGACCCGCCGGCTCCAGCCCCGCCGCGGAAAATGGCGTCCCGGCGCCCCTCCCCCCGGCTCGGCCCCGCCCCACAATGCCGCGCGCCGCGTGACGTCACCGGCCCCGCCGCCGGGGTGGGCGGAGGGGGCGTGGCCACCTGGCTTTCAGGCCGGGGTGAGGTCCGCCGCGCGCGGGTCCCGGATTGCCGCAGTCGTGTGTCCCCTTGAGTCCCCCCAGAACCGCCGGGGGGCTTCCACCGCACGCAGAGGAAGGGTCCTGAGGGGCTAGGCTATCCCGGGGCCCCTCTCCCGTCTCTGCAGGCTGGCGGGCCCGGGCGAGCCGCGGTGCCACCCCGTGCTGCCCACCGCGGCAGCTGTCGCCCCTACACACCCCTGGCCGCAGGGCCGCGACCCCCAGCCCGGGGAAGGGCGGCGCTTCCGGGCTGGGGAGCCCTGGGCCTCATCCTGCGGCGCCGCCGGCTCCGCGGGCTGACTCAGCAGCCAGCCAGGAACCCGCGCGTGGATTCAGCCCGCAGGGCGCGGCTTTCTTTGTCTGCCACCACGTTGGTACCACCCCCCCCGCAGCTGCCTGCACGTGTCCCAAGAACAGGGCCCCGGGGCACTGCTGACCGCACGGGCTCGTTCGCTGGTCCCCCAGCCCCACTTGCTTTTCAACGGGCCGCCCTCTGCAAATGTCACCCACACCTGCGGCCGTGTCACCCTGCCCTTGCGCGGACACCTGGAAACGGGCGCTGCTGCGCGGTTTCCACAGGGAGGTCCAGTGACTTGGCTTTCATTTAAAAAATGCAAAGGTCTGCTGAAAAGGGGATCTCTGCGGTGACACAGCAGTTGTTACGGGGCCGCGGGAGGGGCAGTGACTCAGTCGAACAACCCCCCAGTGACTCAGCCAGCCTGCAGTCTGGCCTCACCCGGTCCTCAGGAGCACCTCCGGGCCGGGGCGGGCTGGCGGCTGCAACCAAGGTGCTTGGCAGAAGGGAGGGGCAGGCTGCCCGAGCCTTTCTCGCCTGTCACTCTGGGCTCGGGAGCTGTCCCCCCCCCCCCAGAAACCTGAGATGCTTATGCCCTCTTCCGATGGATGGCCCAACATCTGAGCTTCTTAGCGTTGCTTTAGCCCATCTGCTCTCCATCCACACGGCTGTCACTCTGCTTGGGCCTTCGTATCTCCTTTTGTTCTCTCAACCAATGTGTACCGAGTGGCAGTGGTCCTCATGGTAACAGTGAAGGTACGCTGGTCAGCGGGATAGTAAGACCCCTGCGCTCCCGGTGCCATGTGGAGAATGCGGGTGAGATGATACGACAGGCGGAGCCAGGTGGGCAGGGGCGAACTATGAGGCGGGCACGTCAGCAGAGCCCTAAAAGATGGGAAGCAGCCCCCTGAGCAAAGCCAGCGGCGAGCGCTCCGGGCAAGAGTCCCCAGGCCCTGGCTCGTGCGGCTCAGTGGGTTGGGCGTTGCCCCCCAGAGCGAAGGGCCACAAGTCTGATTCCCCATCAGGGCACATGCCCGGGGTGCGGGTTTGGTCCCAGGTCAGGACACGTAGGAGAGGCAGCCAATCACTGTTTCTCTCACACATGGATGCTTCTCTCCCTCTTTCTCCCTCCCTTCCCCGCTCTCTAAAAATAAATACTATTTTTTAACCCCTAAGGCAGGAATGGGTCTGGAGTCCTGGGGAAAGAGAAAAGGCAGTTCACCCACCGCATCCACGACCCTCCAGAACCTGGAAAGGCTGCAGTGTACCCGTCACTCGGGCAACGGGCCTGAGCCATCCTCGCCCGGGGCGCGCCCTGAGCCCAGCAGGCGCCCATGCTGGCTGAGCTGCCCTGCCCGCCCTCGGTCCCTTCCAGCCCCCCTGATCCGCACCGCGGCTCTGAGAGAGGCCCGCCTTCCCTGAGAGAGGCCCGCCTTCCCGGGACAGGTGCTGCCGCCGGGATCGCGCTGGGGGCGGGGTCTGCTTGCTGCTTCCTGGAGGTGGTCGCCCTGCCCCCAAGCAGACACTGCGTGGGGGGGGGGCGGGGGGGGCGATAATGCCTCCCTGTGCGGAAACCTTGGCTGGGCCGCTCCGGGCGGCAAACCCGTTATCGGTCCCACGGGAGCCTGCAGGACTGGGGACCCAGGCAGCAAACAATGGCCGGCACATCCCATCCCGTGGGCTCCAGGCTCCCCTGTGGCCGACAGCCTGCTGGGTCAGCTGGGGGCCTGTCCCCGCAGCGCCCGATGGGGCAGCTCGGAGCCGTTGCCCGGGGCCTGCTCTGCACCCAACCCCTGCAGCCGGCCTAGGGGTTGCTCCAACGGACCCAGGGGCGGGGCAGTGGGCTTCCTTCCCGCTCCCTGGGGAATGCCCCTCTGCTCCGCTCCGGAGAAGGTCCGGGCGGGAGCGGCCCCTCCTTCTCCCTGCCTGCCTGTGTCTCCGTCCTCCTGCTTTCCCCAAACGGGGACAGATGCTCCACCTACTCTGTCCCCTTCCCTCCGCCACCCTGTCACTCCCTGGGTCCAGGGCAGCGGGCAGCCTGCCGGTCTGGAGGCTGGGCTGGGCAGGCTCCGAGCGGCCCAAGGCTCAGATGAAGCTGAAACAGAGGACAAAGCAGCGGCGAGGTCCCTGCTCCAGGCAGAGCGAAAGCGTCTGCTCGCGGCCTCCTGCAGCTGGCCGCCGGGCGCTGGAGAGGAGCCCAGCGCAGCCTCCCGCTCTCGTGTCCTTCCCCGTGTTTACCAAGCGTCCCCGCTGAGCGGTGCCGGGCCAGGCAACAGGGGAGCGAGGTGCCGCGCCCTCGCCGACCCGCAGCCTGTGCAGCGGGGCCCGGGGCCTGGGGTCAGGTGCCCGGGGAAAAGCTCTCGGTCCCCTAGGGATTGGGATCGGGGGACTCTGTGAAAGAGGGACATTCACACGGCAGGTCTGCAGGACCCGGGGATGGAGGTGCGGGGGAGGAGCGGCAGGAAACAGCAGCACAGGGCTGGACACGAACAAGCCACAGCAGCATCGGTCTCCAGTGCAGAATGGAGTCAGTCCTCTTACTGCCGGTGTCCCTGGGTGTGTCCGGGGCGGCTCTGCAGGAGGGAGACCGAATGCTGGGATTTCCCTTGCAGCTGAGGGTCTGTGTGCAGTGGGCGCCCTGCCCCCCAGTCCAGGAGTGCCTGAGCGGGGAGGGGGAAGGAAGACAGAGGAGGGAGAGAGGGGGAAAGCCAGGTGGTAGCCGACATGCTCACCCCTCCCAGACCCACTTCCACCCGCAGCCTGGGCACCGCCCCTGCCCCCAAGCTGGGCACCACTGGGCCTGCGTGAAGCTTGCAGAGTAGCTGCTGGGCCTGCTGCGCCTGACGCCCCAGTGAAATCGGGACCAGGTCAGGGCTACTGCAGGCCCCGCCCTGTCTGCTCCCCGGTCTCAGCTCTGGAAACTGTGGTTATCTGGGCCCAGGGTGTCTCCCCTTGAGAGAGCTCCACCAGCCGCGCCCCCAGACAGAGGGGGAGAGGCAGAGCTTCGGCTCCCACAGGGCGGGGAGGGTAAGGGAGTGGAAGCCCCCAGGGGAAGCCCCCTGGCTCCCTGGAAACAGAGGCCTGGTCCTGCTGGGTGAGGGGTCCCCCGCATTCCTGAGCAGCCCCTTGCTTGCGGCACCGGCCCCTCTGATTCCTGAGCACAGGTGCAGGGGGGGCCAGTCCCAGGCCTGAGCCTCAGGAAGGCCTGGGAGCCTTGTCTGTGCTTTGGGGACCCGAGCTGCCATGTAAGGACGGCTCCTTGCTGCCGGCGTCCCCTGGGGCTGCCAGGCGGTAGGGGGGCCACGTGGGACGACCTGGCCCAGCTCACAGAGGCAGCCGTGAGGCCCGAAGCTCAAGTGCAGGCAGCGAGGGCACAGGGGTCTCTGCCGTGGAAGAAAGAGGGTCAGGTCCCTTCGAGGAATCGTGTGATATTGAAGAGAAAGTGCCAGGCTTCCCCTAATCTGTGCACGGAGACCGACCCGTGTCCGGCGGTCTGTCATCTGAACAGGCGGGCCGGGCTGGGAGGGGGTCCCTGCTGGAAGGGTGTCGGTGTGGTCTGTGACACTGTGACAGAGACACAGGAAGGGCCTGGGGGCCTGCGACCAGGGACCCGTCACAGGAGGCTGACAGTCTGCACTGGGACTTGCCCCTTGACACTTTATCATTGAAGTTTTCAAACACACAGGAAAGTGTACAGCGGACACCCAGGCCCCCACGCCTGCTCGATCCCTTTACTCGTGGATCCATCTTTCTCCTCTTCTGTCGGGTGCCTTTCAGAGTGAGTTGCGAACATCAGTACACATCACCCCCAAACACTCAGCATGCATGTCACTGACAGAGTCGAGTGTTAGTTCGTCTTTAGAAAAAAACTCACACAACATGAAACGCACACACCTTTTCTTCTTAGGTCTGTTGTATTGATCATGCTGTTACGGTTGCCCCAGCTTCTCCCCCTTCCCCCCTCCGCCTGGTGCCCCCCACTCCCCCAGGTCGCCCGGCCCTCGGCTCCTGTCCATGGGTCCATCTCCCACACTGCATGTTGCACCCCCCTGTCTGTTCTGTACCTACCGATTTGAACTTGATCCCTGCACCTTGTCCCCCTCCTTCCTCCTCCCCCCGCCGATAACCCTCCATGTGATCTCCATTTCTGTGATTCTGTTCCTGTTCTAGCTGTTTGCTTGGTTTGTGTGTTTTTGTTTTCAGATTCAGTTGTTGGCAGTTGTGAATTTGTTGACATTTTACTGTTCATGGTTTTGATCTTTTTCTTAAATAAGTCCCTTGAATATTTCATACAATAATGGCTTGGTGGTGATGAACTCCTTTCGTTTTTTTCTTGTCTGGGAAGCACTTTATCTGCCCTTCCATTCTAAATGACAGCTTTGCTGGCTAGAGCAGTCTTGGCTGTAGGTCCCTGCTTTTCATGACTTGGAATACTTCTTTCCAGCCCTTTCTTGTCTGCAAGGTCTCTTTTGAAACATCAGCTGACAGTCTGATGGGAACTCCCTGTAGGTAACTAACTTCTCTTTTCATGCTGCTCTTTAAGATTCTATCTTTATCCTTATTTTATTTTTTATTTTTATTTTTTAAGGTAT